CCAGCTCTGGGCTCCCAGCACAGGAAGGACATGGACCTGCTGGAGGGAGTCCAGAGGAGACCAAGATGATCAGAGGGATGGAGCACCTCTCCTATCAGGAAAGGCTGAGAAAGTTGGGGCTGTTCAGCCTGGAAAAGAGAAGGCTCCGGAGAGACCTTATTGCAGCCTCTCAGCACTTAACAAGGGGCTACAAGAGAAGTGGTAGAGAGAATTTTTTACCAGGGCATGCAGTGATAGACAAGGGGTGATAGCTTAAGACTGAAAGAGGGCAGGTTTAGATAAGACATTAGGAGGATACTCTTCACCATGAGGATGGAAAAGGTTGCACAGAGAAGATGTGGCTGTTCCACCCCTGGAAACATTCAGGGCCAGGCTGGACAGGGCATTGAGCAACCTGGTCTAGTGGAAGGTGTCCCTGCCCATGTAGTCAGGTTGGAATCAGATTATCTTTAATGTCCCTTCCAATTCAAACTATTCTATGATACTGTAGCTGTCAGTTTAAATTTAGCTACATTTTAATGACATATTGATTGCTGTATTCTTTAAGGAATGCTGCCATCAAATTCCAAAGATATGAAGTACCAGGACTTTAGTGTGAATTTAACTTTTTAGTATTTTGACTCTCATTTTCAAGGTGTGAAAAAACACATCCTTTGACCTGCCCTCATTTTCTTTTCAGAGATATGTTTTTAATACTTTTTTTTTCCCAAAGTAAAACAAAGTGTGAAATAACCCACAGAATTTTGGGTACTTGTAGTCCAAGGGGTTTACTTTGGCCTCACTACAAAGGGGTACACATGTGAACTCTCTGAAATATCTCTATTGCTTGGCAGGAAGAGCAGCTTTCAGTAGTAGAATTGTATTCCTCAGCTGGGAGTCAAGATTCCTTGAAGTTCACCCGCTGACAGACATGGTGTTCTCCTATGTTGGGTGTTGGATGAAATGACAGAAGTATGGAGAACAGATCAGAAACAGCAAAACAGAATTTCAGTGAAAGATAATTCTTTAGGGAGGGAGGGCAAGAGAGGCGAAGGGGATCAATGCACATGCTAGTTCTCCACAGAAATGCACCCTCAACACCAATTCATCTTTTCCTTGTAAATCACCAAGCTATAGGAGATTGCATAAATGTTTTCCTGCTCCAAATCCCTTGCACACAAATGGTATGCAAAGGTAACTGGCTTTTATAGGCCTTTTGTTTAACAAAACAAACTAATTCTTTTTGGTCTTTTGATTATCTACAATTACTTCTTCAATCATACTTAAACTTTAGTTGTCTTCAATATTGTATCTATTTCATAATTTACCTCCAAGTTAAGTATATGTCAATATCAAAGGGATGTGCATTAACATAATGCACCAGCTCATTAACCCTGGAAAATTAAAGAGTCCATCAAAAAACAATCTTGGAAGCCTGACAATTGTTTTGATGAATACTGACATTTAAAGGAAACTATAAAGGCTCTGACCATGTTAATGAAAGACCAAAGAAGAACTGAATCCAAGATGTAGCTGCGTGTTTAATGAATTTGATGAGCGCTGATGTTCAGTTCACTAGTAGTACAGTATATCACATAACTGGGACTTTCAACACAATACAGGTTAGGATTTTAATATGTAAAAGGTAGGTGAGTACCATATGGCTAAAGTCAGTGTCAGTGAAAGTCAACTGTTCAGCCCTAAGATGCTGCTCTCCAGCACTGTCATGACAAAAATCTTCCACATCCCCACCTAAATATCCTCAATTTGTTTGACTGCATGGCCTGCATGTTCCTGCTGATCCGCTCAGCAGTGCTGCTCAAGACAAACCAGAGCATTTTGCAGGGCAGAGTGTGGGTCTGGTATAGACAGCAGTTAGGTATGGAACAGTATAAATGAAGGTTATCAACATTTCTTTAATCACTTCTGATAAAACTAGAGTTACAGTCTTCTTTCCATGTTTTACGTACAGCTTTATTGAATGACAAGCTGTCTTCACTCCGTGGAAAAACCATAGCTCCCTTTGTCAAACGAGTTGGATAAATCATGATTTTTGCCAGATTACTGGGGTAATTAGGATTTTTTTCTGACAAAGACACTAAACTTCAGATGACTCTAGAATTAGACCACTGTTTTGACACTTGACAATGAACACTTATAAAGATTATTTCTGCAAGCTAATGGAAGTTATGCGCTATATATCTACAGGATTAAATGTGTCGTAGAACCAGTACGCACCACTGAGGTCCTTCAAAGCTGCTGTACAATTACATCATCTGTACTTTTCTGTAGCAACATACTATATAGAGCTTAAATTTTAGATTTCCTAAAACATCTGTGAACAAGCAATACGTGATATATAAAACATATAAAAATATTTGTAACTTCAGCCAATACATTTTATATAAAAGTTTTGCTCTTCCATTATCCACATAAGGCCACGATGCCCTCCCAGTCTGAAATTTCAATCAATCCAGCTGAAATTATATTAGTTATAGAAATATTAATTAAATAGGAAGATAGTTTCCTCTTTGCCTTCCTAAGTGGTCAAAAAATTAATATATTTTTACAAAATTATAATATATATTTCTATATACAAATAAAAAGTCCCCCATTTTTCATCACAGAATCAGTTGAGTTGGAAGGGATCCTCAAGGATCATTGAGTCCAGCTGTTAGCCCTACATAGCACCATCCCCTTATTTTTGTCCATATGGAGTCGATAAAGGAAGAATAGCTTTAAAGAAGAAAAATCAATACTCTAAAAAACCAAAACCACCCTACCAGTTTCTTACTCTTCCCTCTCTTCTCTTCCCCTTTCAGCTTTCTCTTCTTATTCTTTCATTATCAGAAGGTATTCAGTACTCATTAAAGACATTAGTAGGAACTAAGACAAGAACTCCTCACTAATTACAAAGCAAAGTAATTAATTTTTCCAGAAATATAGTCATGCTGAACAAAAAGAAAACAAACTAACAAGAATGCCATAGTAACACAGTTTGACTATTAGAAATGTCTGCTCAGGCAAGACAAAAACATTAAGGCTCATATCCTGATGTTCTTAATTGCCTTAGGCTGCAACATTACAGTGGTCAAACAAAGACTAACAAGACGCAAGTGCCAAGTCCCCATGGACCCAATAAGCAATGTGATGAGTAAAGAAGCATAAGAAGATCACTTTAACAGGCAGAGTCATAACAGGTTTTTCCATAACCAATATAGAAATTAATTCATTGACACATAATCAGTCCTAAGCTAAGCTTAGGAGATAAACTTGTTTACTAACAGTTGAATGAATAGTTTGCAACACTCCTTCCATTTTGACATCTCAACACAGCCCTTACAAAAAAAAATGCAGACTGCTCAATATAGGAAACACATTACGCTAATCAAATATTACATGAAAGAGGCTTAAGTTAGTATAGCAGGTTAAAAAGTACCTTCCTTGCTAATCCATAATTAATGTATGTTTCTTTTTTTTAAAAGTATCTATTCTTTAACATCTCGTATTTCTACAGCACTAGTGGTGAAGACCTCCGTTTGCTTATTTCTTCCCTCATACTATTGTTTACAATGACTCCAAAATTATCTTGAATGCCATCATACCTGTAATTTCTCAAGGTTGGGATTCCATTGTCTTACTTACTCTGAAAACAATAAGGCCACTGAAAAGAAGAATGAACCGCTACAACATTACTTGATGTCTTACTTGCCTCCCCTTATGGAGTGTTAATGATGCTAAAAAACATTAAAAATTAGATACAACACTTCCTCCTCCATACTGGCTAAATTGACAGTGTTTTGGCAGAGAAGTTGCTGCACTATGTAGGATGAGGTAATGAACTTCCCTATATGGACACAAGACCAGGCCAGGATTACCAATGAAGACAAAAGAGACATGGACAATGACTCTTAAGCAAGAACTGGAGCAAAAGAGCTGCCCGAGCAGAAACAGACAGCAGACACAGAAACAGGCTAACACTGTGTGACTGTGGCCCATGGAAGAACTGAGTTTTTTAAAAAAAGAAAGGAACCACCACAGGCACTGCCTGCCACCTGGAATTTCTATATTTCTCAGCAGAGGTATTTTCCCCAATCAGTAAGATGAAAAGGGAATGAATAAGCATGTATGATGGGGTGTTCTTACTCAGCTCAGTTCTGATAATGAAAATTCCATGAGATTCATGTCAATGCCTATTTCTCCAAAATGGATCTTACAAGCTTCAGTGCATTATCCAGACTTCCTGGCTTTGATGCACATGGAGTCCATATACAAGACTGCTTTCAAAATAAGTCCAACAAATGTGCTTTGGAGATTTTTCTCCTTGTTGCAAACAGAGCAAGATTTTATCCATCAGGTTTCATGCAAAGAGTTTCAAAGGAAGACGATGCAATGATGCCACATGCAGACAAAAACAGGACAACATCCCTGTGCTCAAAAAGGGAGTGCAACCACACTCCAAGCTGGTTGGAGTGGTGGAGACGGGACAAAAAGTGTGCTGTACTCATGCCATTACAGCAGACCCTGCCACATGACAGATGGCATGCTCAGCACACAATCTCTGACTGTCCTGAGGACTGCAAAGCCCCACAGTTGGCACAACACATGTTTTGCAGGTGGTCATTTTGCATACATTGAATTCTGAGCCTCTACAACAGCTGTCATCCAAGGAAATTTCTCCCCAGGTCAGATAACATGAACACTGCACATGGTATTTCAGGCATTTGCTGATTAACCTCAGATTTAGGATAGGACCTTTCTACTTTTACAATGTCAGCATACTAATCCCACAGTTTTTTCCCTGTGTCCTGCTAGTCTTAAAAATATACTCCCCTAGCTTGTTTCTGAAGCTGTAGCAAGCTTTTGTTACTCTGGGCAGCTTGAGAAGAGGCTCCTGAAAAGAAATTAGGAGAGTGATTAAAAGTGCAGCTCTAGTCAAAACTAATTTATAAACTACAGCATCCAAGCACAGTCAGTGCTGTTTAAGGAGTCTGAGTCAACAAGCTCTGCAAACAGTTCAAAGCAGCAGGAAACCACAGGATTTTCCATGTTCATAAAAATGCTCTGAGGTCTGATAAAAATTGTTTGCATTTGGGGGAAAGTATTGCATAACACTGGCTTCCATTGTATGGAAACTGTTCTGAAATGTAATCTTTTTTCTGGACAGGAAGTAACTGACAATACCATCTTGAAGTTAAAATTATATATAAAGTTGAACAAACACAGTCAGTGGACTTGTCCAATGCCTATGACTTCAGATGTTGCATTTTAATGTACAACGTGCATATACAATAACAACTTTCATATCTCAAAACAAGCTTTGAGATAGCAAAAAAGAGGAAGTTGCAATCAAAATCTCTCCCATACCACTAGTGGTTTATCTAGTTCTACACTTACATTCTTAGACCTGTTTTCGCCATTACGTTTTGGGTTTGAATCAGGTTTATTTAAGTCAGAAAATGTTTAGAAAGTGGCTACAAAAAAGCTTGTTTTCTGTATACAGTTATCAGTTAATACATATGTCTGCCTATTTACCTATAAAGTTCAAAATACAAGCTTTCAGACTGTGCTCTTTAGCTATGTAACATTGCACATGCAGTGCCTTCAAGCTTTGAACAAAGTTGCTTTGTTTCCATTTCAGAATCAGGTTTTAGTATTAGATTTTTAAGCACTTAGGAGTTAGCAAGACATCTCAAGTAATACCTTCAATTTTTTCTCCCCTCCAATCCTGAAAAATGATCTAAAGACTTCTACTAAACCTGTTAGGTCAAGTAAAAATACATTTACCATAGCCAGAAACATAATTATATACTGTCCATTGCATTTTCAAGGGCCTGAAGTTTTAACCAATTTGCTACAGCTTGAAGTAGGATATTGCACAGTACTTAAAGAGACATAAAGTACAGGAAGTCAGTAGAAAATAATATAGTGATTATCAGAAATTTATTATCTTTGAAATGTTAGCTTCTCTATAAAGACTAGTGAAAATCTGTGAGCTATTTGGACAACAGAGGGAAAGTTGCACTCTATCTGCATACTTTAACACCCCACATTTTTGAAAAGAAAAAATATACCTAATAAAAACCCAAACAAAAACCTTGCAACATTTTACTGTGAGGTAAAAATTATATACAAAACATGTATGTAAACAGCTAGATGCAAAGAATATCATTTTATACAAACCAAGTTAAATTTTATGTCTATGAGCAGACAGAAGTCTACTTAAGTCAGCAATTATGGATTTTCATTAGCAGAAAAAAAATGTTTATTGTGATTATTGCATCAATTAATAGAAGTTTTAGATTACATAGCAGATAAGTCAGGAAAGCACATAACTTCAAATATTTCTGAAATAAATTCCTTTTGGAAATATTTTGGCACACTCACTAAGGTGGATGGCACCTTCAGAAGAGTAACAGAGCCACGGTGAAGGGACTGGAGCACAAGTCATATGAGAAGTAGCTGAGAAAGCTGGGGGGATGCAGCCTGAAGAAAAAAAGAGGCTGAGGGGAGACCTTATCTCTGCCTGCCACTGTCTCAAAGCAGACTGTAGCTTGGTGGGGGGTCATTCTCTTGTCCTAGGTAAAAAGTGATGAGAGGAAATGGCCTCAATTGCACCAGGGGAGGTTTAGAGTGTGTATGAAAGAAAAATTATTTATGGTAAGGGTTATCAAGCAGGGTGCCCAGGAAAGTGGTGGAGTCATCATTCCTGGAAGTGTTCAAATAGTATTTGGATATGGCACTTGAGGACATGTGACCATGGTGCTGGTTCTAGGCTGCTTGTTGGACTTGGTGATCTTACATGTCTTTTCCAACCTTAATAATAATATGATTCACAGGAATGCAATCCTATAAAATAGTCTGTTTGGGGAACAAATGGATGATTCTACATATGCCAATCTCAACCAAATGATCAGGAAGCCCATACATGGTACCTTCCAGAGAAGGAAGAAAAGACATAGGGGAGTTTCATACAAACAGGCACTTAAAATACACTTAAAATGTATTGCCATCACAAGAAACCCCAAGAGTTAGGATTATCATACTTTGGGAAATAAAGCTCTTGCTATTGAACAAACATGAAGACAAATTAGAAAGTTTACCTAACCTCATTCCTCTTCCATCTAAGGTCCCCATTCGTAAGGGACTCATGAAGGATCTAAGTAAACTTTAAAAGAGTAAAGAGCTTTTTCCACAGCACCGACATACATTTAGCTGTAGGACAGCACAGGCATTACAGTCTCACAAATTTAGTACATCAACAGCATGGAAGGTGGCAATCGCAAAGCTGAGGACAAATCAGCGCCCAGTATTTAAAATTAAGGCTTATACAGTAGAGCAAAGAAAAATCCCAACAAAACTCTTTAAATTTTTGGTGTAATGGCAGTGACTATGGAGATATTTATACTAAAGATTAATAAAGCTACCTGTATGTTATGTATAGGGTGGTCTCAAATTGGGGTTTTTTTTAAGAAGAAAAAGAAACACTGGATTTTCTTTCACTTCTGCAATTCTCTGGGTTTATTTTCAAAGTCTGTTCTCTGATGCCTTCATATGATCTTATCACATGCTGCTCAAGTTCACCAGGTAGGCAACCAGCTGAAATGTTGCAGGAAACATTAACAGCAATAATTTATCACTGCCTGCAAAAGTTACTCCCCTAGCTGAGTGATGGTGCACGTCTCTAAGATTTTCCTTTTTTGTCCTTCCGCACAACCTGAAAAGCTCATTTTCCTAGCAGGAATCAAGCGAAAGTTCTGGGAAACAAATTAAGTAACAAAAAGTGCATTATCAGATACTCAGCTTTATTTTTACAAAGCTCTCGCTTCAGTTTAGTAACTTATTCCAGGGATATAGGTATCTTCAGAATTTTTCTAGGTACCTAAGTGATTATTCCTCTAAATTGTGTAAGTGGACAAAGGTATCTCTAAATAAATGTTTACCTTAAATTTCTTTTAATTACAAAATTGGATAGAACTAACCATCAGCTTTTAATGACTTAAGAGCAACTAAGCTAAGTTAGATTGAATTCTAGAATAGATACTTATCTATAGTGAAAATACTAAGAAATCACAATAGTAAAATATTGCATTTTTTTTTCTTGAATTTTGCTCTGTTTGAAAATTCTTGTCAGGAAGTCAGGAGAGGAGTTCTTCTATCTTTAGAACTAGACAATTAATTTTAAGATGTACAGCTATTTTCCATATATAGTCACTGAAAGTATTTATCAGATGTAAACAAAAAAACCCAACTTAATGTCAGGTTCTAGTGTATGAAAAAAGAATCCTGAAACAACAGTGTAATGAGACATTTCTGCAAGACGCCTAGATATTAACATTCCTGCAACAGCCCTTACATTCAGTAAGCTAAGCTATGCTGCATCTGGAATTAGAAATAAGCAGGCAATGAATCATCTAAAAATATTAGTTTCTCTCCATTCTACAGCAAGGAAATCCAACTTAGGCACACTTGCAATATAAGCAGAAAAGAGAAGAAAGCAGAAAGGAAGAAAGATCACTATTCATGCTTGTTAGTAAAAAAAGTTTATAAAGGACCAAAAGCAATCCACAACCAGGCCTTCTTGTTAGTTCCCCTAGGTCCTTGATACTCTCTGTATAGAGACAATTTTTCCTTTGCAATCTTTATCTAAAATGTTTCTGCCATGAAGTTCTGTCAGTCAGACTACTCTTACAGAACTCATGCAAATATTTCAAAGGAGAATATTAAGTAGTTTAACTGCTCCGCTTGAATTTCTACTGTTAGTTCACACAGTGCTTTAATACAAAGTCATGTGACTATTAAGTTATAGTTTGCTGTCTTCCTGCACCACCACTTTTCTTGAGGTTAAATGAATAGATATTTTCTATATGATCCTCAGGATCAATAACTATATCCTTCAGAACCATAACAAGAGCTACAATTTTAAGGGGGGGTAAAAAAAACAGAAGAAAAAAAAATAAAGAAACCCCTTACATCAGCAGCACAAGCACAGCTTTCCAAACAACAGAAGCAGAGAGAGCCAGAGCAGGAAGTTGCTTTGGGATCCAGAGATACTGCTAGTGAGGCAGGAGTTCATGTACTGCTTTACAAGCAGGCCCAGCAGCACTCTAATTTCCAGGTGCATAGAGAAAGATGAGGAAAATGAGGAGGAAGGCTCCAGATGGGACATAATTTTCAACTTCTGCCACGTCCAGAATGCAAGCCTATTTATGACCTGCATGTTTTCCTTTTGGCATTTCACAAGCACCCTCAAATAATTTATGGATTCTTTAAGATCTAAAGTTCAGTAGTTTCCTTTGCAAAACAATTTTCAGTTTTATGCCACTCACAAATAACTAATTAGACCAATTGATGTTGACTAAACAAGGTGAGAATCAAGCCAAATTGCAAGGGGCCACTTAGGTGCTCTTGTCGACGCACAGATAAGTAGAAACAGCACCTTGCAAGGTCTTTGATGTTAGTCGTAGTGGTTGGTGGAATTTAAGGGTAATAAGACACAACAGTGGTAGAAATGCTGCCCACAACAGCAGATTCAGAAAACTGGCAGACAAACTCTTTGCTTTTTCCTGATATGAAAGCATAAGACTGTCTGTAAATCAACACCCTCTACTCTGAATCTTGGTTAGATCAATTTAGCGGCTGTAATAAAATCCTTCAGCAGCATTGACAAAGGTCACCATGCACAGGTAGTGCAGTATGACAGAAGTGAGAATAGAGGTATGGCATGAAGCCATAGGACATGAAGCTATGTAGATCATTAAAATAATAAGAGTGGCAATCCCACATCATCTCAGATTCCCTAAAATACAGCAGAGTTCAAAAAACAATGTAAACATGGTATTTTCTGATTTGACATTCAGTGTGATTTTGCATGCTCCATCAAGTCTCATCATTGCCTACGACAAGAATTTCTGTTCTGATGGCTGTATTTCACAGCTATGGAGCAAAGTCGCAAAGCTGGAGCTTTTGACAATAGACTGATTAGAATTCTGGAACCTAGAAAATAATAGAAGAAATACAAAGTCATAGAATCAAGTCATCATGTATTTCCATTGAGATAAACAGCAATTATATGGTAAACAGTGATACTATTTAAAAATTAGTCTAACTGCTGTTTTTCCAATCATCTTTGACTTTGAGAGACAACACTAAAAGAGTACTAGTCATAATTTTGTTATTATTAAGACTAGATGTCTTGGCAATTTGTTATCAGAAGAAAAACCAAGGAATATATATCTTCCTTGTTTATTACTCACATTTGGAATTTGTCTCAAAGATATGTCTGTACTAAAATGAGGTTTCCTCATTTGTCACCATAGTCTTTAGCAACTTCTCTTGGCTTCTTAATAGCTCTAATCCATCCAATCAGAAGTTTAGAACTAATAAGGTATTGGTTCTAAACTTCTATTTTGCTTCCTTG